GGTTGAACTGATAATAATTGTTAAATTGTTATATATATATATATAAAACAATTATATATTATATATAACAATATATATATATATATATATCTTTTTTTTGAACTTTAATAATAAATACATCAATATACATGAAATATATATTTATAAAATGTTATGAAATACGTGTGAAATATATCGATAAAAAATGAAAATTAATATAAGTTATAACTTTGTTAACTTAAGAAAATTTTAAGATAATAAAGAAAAAATAAAAAATTGGACGAATTATTTAAATTATTTAATTATTTAATAATTTAAAAAAAAATTTTTTTAAATAAATATTTACCGTCATGAATATATTTTTTATTCGTCATAATTTCTCGTTCAATGATCACTTTCAAATCGTTTTAAATAGAAATTTTATTATGTCACTTTTGATTAAAGATTATAATTTTTTCACATTTAAATTCAAATTAGAAATAAAAAAATTAAAAATTTTAAATTAAAAATTTGTTTTAAATTTCAATAACATAAAAAACGTCGTCTATACTGTGTTGTGGATGAAGACTGACTAAGATTATATTGGCTGCAATATACTGTTAAATCCACTTACTCCTTCTTTGCAGTACCACCACTTACTATATAAATTTTCATTTCAAATTACCTTTATTTATTCATCTTAGATTTAATCGAAATAATTATACACAATGTATATTTATAAATAATTTTAATTTATAATTAATTAATTTATAATAAGATTAAAAATAATGATTATTAATATTATATTATAATTGTAATCAATAGTTATAATAGTTATTAATATAGTTATTAATTAATTAGTTATAATTAATGATTACATCAGTCATATTATAGAGATGAAGATTTATGCTCAATTAAAATAATATTAAAGTCGGACAAGATAGATAAAAAACAAAAATTTTAAAAATAATTATATTTTGATTAGATAAAAAGATCGATAGAATGATACTATTTATTTTATTCTCTGTCTTGCTTTATTTATTTTAATTTTTAAAATTATTTCTTAATTCTTTATATTTTTATCCTATATTATATTTTTTATATCCTATATTATTTTTAACGATGAATATGGAACATAAAGGAAACATTTTTTTTTTTTTCTATTCTATACTTTTATTCTGAAAAATCGAATTACGATTTCAAAAAAAAATCAACACTTTGAAAAAGTTATTTCTCTTTTTCAAGATTTATAAAATTTAAAAAATTTGAATTTAAAATTTTATTTTAAAAAATGATAAAAAAAAATTATAAGAAACTATTACAGATATTATATTTATATTTATATTAATATACATTCGTAACATTAATTATTTATGTATGTTTCATAATATGTTTCATTATAAATAGTACAATGTAGATGCTTATATTATTCATACATAAAATTAAATATCATCAAAGAATTGCGTATTTACATATATACACATTATATAACTATTTTAATTTGTTAAAAGAATAAATAATGAAATGGTAATTTTATAAGATTTAATGCACATTCGAGTAAAAAAATTTCGAAAATAAAAAAAAAATATTTATTAACTAAAATTATTTTTTGTTTATTTTTCAACATATTTCCCATTTAGGGGTAATAGCTTATTTATTTAGTAATTGTATATATATTTAGCATTTTAAATACGAAAAAAATTGAAAATTACGATGATGTTATAATTATACATATGTAATCGATTATAATCAATCAATATTTATCAATCTTTATTATATGCGATTAAAGTATATAGATTTATCTCGTAGATTTATCGTAAAAATCAAAATTATGATTTTTAAAAATATAAAAAAATATAACTTATATATTATATATATAACTTATATATATATTTCAATGACATATAATAATCTTTATCTCACACTTACACGTAATATACGTGTATATTATTTTTCAACCGACCGATAATTGAATCATGATAATTAAAAAAATACATAAATAATTATTGAAAAAAATGAAACGATAACATAGAGAAATATGTATTATATACGCAATTACAAATAATTTTCTTATTTTTTCCACTAAATTGATCAAAGTGAAGTAGCCTTGAAATCAATTAGCTTATTTAATATATTTTGCTCATCACGTATTTATTTCCGTGAATAATGTTTTTATTCATATTGTTCTATCTCGAAGAACGCGAAGGACGGATATTTTCTCAATGATTTGTTTCCAATTAATATTATATAATTCCAAACAAAATATTAACGTAGCTATAAAAAATCCGACGAGTAGGAGTGAAAATCCGGCGCCAAGCGGCGTCAATCCAAGAACTTGCACGCTTCCATCGTATCTGTCACGTTCAATGAAAACTTCGCGAAAATTATAATTACCTCGTCTTCGTATGACATCGCGTAAATGCCAAATAACAATACCGGTCTCCTTCAACCATAGAATCATCTACATATCGAAAAATATACAAATTTATATTTTTACGTATACGCACGCGTAAAACGTTTAAAAAAAAGCTGTACAAAAAATTGCAATAAAAAATTATCGTTACTTCATTTATAGGCTTCAATAGCCGTGGTTGAATTGCGAAAGCAGCGTAAAAGTGTGCCAACGATTCTCTCATCAATCTATAATTCTATAATCATTTAATTCGAATTATATTTTTAATCATCAATTATATCATATATCATTATCAACACGTTCATTATTCTTTTTTTTACGATTACCTTGAGATTTTCAGTTGTTATATAATCGGTCGGAATAAAACATGTTTCGATTATTTTGCCCAGAATTGCATAATTACCTTCTATTATAAATCTCTCCAATTGCGTATTATTTTCTATTTGATAGTATCTGTTTTGCAATTGAACCGAATCTGGATCCTGAATTGAATTAATTACGTTTTCTTCTTATAACTTCTAAATTATTTTTTCTTCCCCCCTCCTTCTTTTTTATCAACGATCATCAACGATTATCAACTTACATTAAGATCGAAGTAATCGTTAAACGGTGGCGGTTGACCTGATTTCCCCCATGACAAATTCGCCTCGATGAATTGCTTGAAGGTATCGATCCTGGAAATACACTAATACTTAGTATGTGAAAATGGGACTTTGATAAGATTGTTTATCGTTAAACGAGTAACTCACGTTTTCAGGGGGAAAATTGAACGGATGGAATTGTGCGAGGAATGAAAAATGTGTAAAAAAATAACGAAAAGAGAAATGTGTGAACATTGGTAATAGTAGCGTAAAAATACGTGTATCGAATTATTATTGTAATTTTAAAAAGTTTGAATCGTTGAGATTTCCCAAGTTGTAATATATTTTCTTTGTTTGACATGATATATATTATATAATAAATTTTTGTCTGATTTTTCTATTTAAAATCATATTATATACATATATACATCATATACATGTATACATGTATACATCATATACATTTTTAAACTTATAGATGAAGGATAAAATTCATTAGGAAATTTTATTAATTGGACGAGATGTTAGACGAGAAGTTTTAATATTAAAACGGATGATATAATCTTCTTTTTTTTATGTATTTATGTAAATAGTTTTTTTAATATTTCTTATATAATTAAAAAAAAAATATTATCCTTCTCCAATCGAAAATGTATATAAATTTTTATTTATTTAAAATTGTTTACTTACCATATACAATTATTTAATTCTACATATATAATGATATATATATGATTTTTTTATTTTATTTTTTGCTTCGATCCCATACCTGTTTTCGTAATCCCAAGTTGCAAGTCTAGCAGCGAGACTACTGCAATATGCAGCAATTATTAACCAGCCTACAGTCTGCCAGAGAAGTATTTGTAATCTATTTGGTACAACGGTCTTTGGTACCGAGCTGCTTAACAAATATCCAATTAAATCGATGAAAGTAATTAGAAAATTTCGATATCCTGGAAAGAATCATCGATTAGAAAATCGGTTGCAAGTAAAAAACTGTTGTTTCTTTTTTCTTTTTCTTTTTTTTTTTTTTTTTCGTCGAAACGATAATTCAAAGAGAATTTCTCAAAGCTTTTTTCTTTTTTTTACGTTTTGGAAATTTAGAGTCGATCCATGAACGAACGTAAGTGTAAAGGCTGTGCAGGAGCAACGCGGACAGAAGCAAGCACCAAATTTTCTTGGAAAACGGTTTTTTCAACGCCCAAAAACTTGTGGTTCGACGTGGACGTGGCACCAAGAAATGGAGATACACATCGTACCAAGGTATCGAAAATGTTACGAATTTATTCTGATCCAATGTCACCCAAATGCTAGCAAACGCGATATCCACCTTGGGATGAAACGGGGATGACGAAGGGTGCGAATAATCTCTCTTTAATTTATTCTTGGTGAAAAAATTAGGTTATACCTTTTGATCGATTAACATTTGTATCATACCGCCAATCCAATATGTTTCGTTGAATCGTTTTCCAAATCTAAACCAATGGAACATTATTTTTACAAATAACGATTTTACAAATATTTTATTCGAAGAAATCGAAAATTAAAAATTAAGAATAAGATAAAAAATTGATTATTCGAATGTTTATATTTACGTGTAATTTCCCTCTGGTTTTCTTATGGTCCACGTAAAATTTAATTTTTCCGCCATTATTAAGAACAATTTCATTTCGATACCGTCCCAGTCCAAATCTGCATTTTTTAAAAAAAATATTTTTATCATTATCACCGGAAAGAGTAGAATCAAATCACTCGATATTTACTCACCTTTATCCATTGCGTACACTTCAGCTTCGAAACTATTGATCGTTTTTCGAATTGTATGATTCAAGTAAGTCATGGGAGGATTATAAATGCTGCAAACTTGTAATTCTTGTCCGTGAAAATTAATATTCTCGTCGATCTTTATCTCTTCGTATCTTTTCAATTCAGCAAATAAAAACAAGTTAATATTAAATATCATATTTCTTAATTATTTATACTATATTTATTAATATTACTTATCAAGTTTGGCAAATACTCGCGGGTTCAAGTAATTGTCAGATAATTTCCATATACCCGACATAGAAATAATATTTACACTTGCAATTCCATAAATGGAATTATCAAGAATATTAGAGTCGTTAGAAATATCATTATTCACAATGATTAGAATTTCTGTATTCCACAATAACGATGGTATTCTGCGACAAAGCAATAATATTTTTGTTAAAACAAAAAAAAAGAAAAAAATGAACAAATTCTATATCCACAAAAATACAGCATTATTTCATTTTACTTTTTCATAAATATCATAATTTCGTCATCACACGATCCTAGCAAAAGGTATCCGTTACATTCTTGCTCGTACTCGTTCGCGTTCCGTTTCAAGAAATAATCGTAAGGATAAACGGTTCTGAATCGATCGAAAAATATATGCAAATCTTCCGTTGAATCTGAATAAAAATTTCTGTATTATAAATTTCAATTTCTCGTAAAAACAACTCTCCAAAAAATTCAAAAAAAAAAAAAGAACAGTTTTCGTATATATTTCATTAACTAACCGCTTAAAAAAACGTTACAACATTTAGAAAAAGAGAACGATAAATTGATGATTTCTGTAAAATTGTGATCTGTGATCCATGATTTGATATTGGATGCTAATAATAAATCTTTCCTGAAACTTATCACCGATGAAACAGTCGTTACCAGACTATGAATAAATATATAAATCTTCATAATAAATTTTAATCATTCGTAACTCGAAGATATTTTTTTATCGTTTGATTAATTTTTTATGCACAAAATACTTTATCACGAGTTCACAGCGTCGTTCATTTTCGATTTTCTTTAATTCACCACGTTCACTTGCGACAAGTAGACCAGTGTATGAGGCCAGTGAAACCAACTTGATTACCAATGTGACTTTTCAAGATGTTAGATCTATAATTTGAATTGAGGAAACGACGTAAATATATGTATAATGTTTGTAGATTGATAAAACGTTACATGTGCAATTTAAGTGTTCGAATGTATTCAGAAATATACAAATAGAAATATTCAAGGTATAGTTTGATGAGAGATAAATGTATGAAAGGAATATTGTGTAAATAGAATTAAAACTCACACATAGTTGACGTACAAAACGCGTAATTATGACCAAGTTTCAAGGCTCTTTTATGGTTTCGTTGATGTTTAATAGACGATGTCTGAAATATTAATCGATACGTCTCGTATACGAAAGGATAATCTAACAAAATGACATTATATACTCGTTATGACAAACGTTCGTTTCTTATCGTTCGACGAAATTTCTTTTTTATTATCGTTCATTTTATATATGTATATATATATATTTATATACATTCAATATTTGCTGATTAAATATTCAAAGAAGAAGCAGAAATATTTATATTTTAGAAATCAAATATAAAATATAGACTGTTATAATTATAGAAATTATTATGCGTATAATTATACATATTTTTTAAATTAATTTAATTAATATCGAATTAAATGTTAATTTTAGAAGAAACATATTATCGAAATTATTATTATTCAGCACTTTTGAACATCCTTTCTTTTTCACATCCTTATTTGTTTCGTAATGATAAAAAAAAAAAAAATGAGTTTTATGCGAATAGACTTCGTATATATTATCTCTCTTTATTTCGCAAGATATTTCAACTTCGTGAAATTTTTAAAGATATTCGCAAGACATTTTAACTTCGTGAAATGAATTAAAAATGATATCTAAAATTGTAATTATTGTATTATATATTATTATATATTAAATAACATAATATATTATTATATATTAAATTAATTAATTATATAATGTTATTATATTGTTATTATATATTATTTGCAACATTGATATATTAATAAATTAGAGAAATTATATATAAGTTTATTTAGTTGATAAAGTATCAACTTATACGGCTAATCGTTTACATTATTTATGAATCGCTTACTTACGTAAGTAAGTAGATTAATGTTTTTTAAATTTTATATCAAGTCAAACTTTTAGAAAGCATTATACTCTGTTTAGCATTAAACGTACTATCCTTTTCACGAATATATACATATGAAGTAGTTTTTCTGACAATCATCGTTCAAACAATGATGATGCCTGATAGTGGTATTAAAGAAGAGAAAGTAAAATAAAAAGAGTAAATAAAAAAGAGGAATCAAAATTATATAAGTGTAACAAGTAATTCTTTGTAATGAATATTTTCAATTTGCCTGTTATTTGTGACATTGCAGGTAATTTTTACTACATTTGTTTATATTAAAAAATCATTATAATTTTATTATTAATTTATTGCATGATTCAGGGAAAAGATGTTTTTCACGAGTTGGTTTTATCGGTTTGGGCAATATGGGTAATCACATGGCAAGAAACATTTTAAACAAGGTAAATTATTCATAATAATTGCCTGTGAAAAATCATTTAAAAAAAATCTTTAAGAAGTCATTATAAAAATAAATTAGATAATGATCTCAATTTGAGATCATTAAAGTCTTTTTTCTCATCGTAACAAGCAAGAAGAAAAAATATGAATAATCATGATAAAATAATCTAATATAAAATTAAAAAACATGTGAATAGAGATATATTTTATTGTAATTATAACGTGAAAAAGTGAGTGCATTTTATCTCATATAATTATTTCATGTACAATATAAATTTTTAATCATTTTTTTCTAAATCTTGATATATCCAGACTACATAAATATATTTATTTTTAGTAATGAAAACTATTAATCAAGAGATTTTAATATATATATAATATATATAAAATATTTATTAATAATATTAATTTTTATATTACAGGGATACAAATTAATTGTCTTTGATGTTAACGAATCAGCGATGTCTAATTTGACAAATATAGGCGCTGACAGAGCTTCTAGTCCTGCTGAGATGGCAAAAGATGTTGAAGTGGTCGTTTCAATGTTGCCATCTAACCAACATGTTCTGGACGTTTACAACCTTAAAAATGGTCTATTGAGGTAAATAAGTAGTTTCCTTAAGCATATTCTTTATCAACCGCATTATCTTCTAATAGAAAATGCTCAAGCCTCTCTCCTCTTTTCTTTCAGTTCAGCAAAAAGGAACAGTCTTCTGATCGATAGTAGTACAATAGATCCGTTTGTGTCTCAAACATTGGCCAAAGAGGCTAAAAAAAAAGGCCTTAACTTTTTAGATAGTCCAGTATCCGGAGGTAATGATATATACACATACACATATATATATATATATGTATGTATATATTACAAATTATTTATTGTATTTAAAATATATGATTTTCCATGTCAATCTTCTTAAAAATGTAATTTCTTTTAAAGGTATAAACGCAGCTAAAGATGGTACGTTGACATTTATGGTTGGAGGTTCCAAAGAAAATTTTGAACTTGCCAAGACTCTTCTCAATTGTATGGGATCCAGGATAATACATTGTGGAGATGTGGGAATGGGACAAGCAGCAAAACTATGTAATAATATGCTTTTAGGTATTAGCATGATTGGTACTGCTGAAGCTTTCAATCTTGGGCAAAAGTAAGAAATTAAAGACAAAAATAAGGCTCATATGATATGTTATAAATGTAATGATTTCTTAATTTTCAGATTAGGTTTAGATTCCAAAATTTTAACTGATATTATCAATTCGAGTAGCGGGAAATGTTGGTCTTCCGAGTTGTACAATCCTGTTCCAGGTATTCTCAAAAATGTACCTAGCTCTAAAAACTATGAGGTATTTAATTATAATTTATTTTTTTCTTTTTTTTTCTTTTTTTTTTTAATATATAATATTCGTTTAATTGATGGATTTAATGGTTTTAATTGTAGGGTGGTTTTGGAGTGACATTAATGGCCAAGGATTTAGGATTAGCACAGTCTGTTGCGACTAAAGTAGAAGCAACTATTCCTTTAGGTTCTTTAGCGCATCAAATTTATAGGGCAATTATTGTTCAAGGATTTGCAAAGAAAGACTTTAGTTACGTTTATCAGTTTCTTAAAGGTTAAAATAATTTTAAAGTTTATCAGTAAACTCTTATCAGTAAAATAATTTTAAAGTAAAAGTTGATAATATAACGATTTGACTATTATTATTATTATTATTATTCATATTATTATTATTAATATACGATTTACTATTATATATTTTAATAAACGAATTTTTTCTATCAATTTTTTATAATCAATTTTATTATTTTTATTATTTTATAATCAATTTTTTATTGATTATTTAATTTAGAATTTCTATAATTATCTTTTATGTAAATATCTTTATATATTGATCTATTTATATATATATATATATATTTTTATTGCTTAAAATACGATATTTTTATTATTTGAATATTATTTTTATAAATTCAAAATAATTTTTTATTTTTATCGAAATTTAACATGAACATATGTGATAAAATTAAAATATTATTAAATATTTTTTCTTAACCTTCAAATTTTTACATTACTTTTAATTTTTAAATATGATAATTTGATAGAGTGCGCTACAAAACAGAACAATCATAAAATGTCGATAACTAATCAAGAAATAAATTAAACTTTTATATTATATTCTTAAAATATATAAAGGATATATATAAATATATATAAAATAATAAAATAATAATAAATTGTTTTAAATTAGCGTGGTTCTCATTGTACACTTTAGTTTTCTACTATATCGACTTTATCTACTGATATTTATTTATAAAGTTATTTTATATTTATTATACAAATACAGGCAATCATTAAAATTAGCTTACGTATTAACTTAAATCCTTATATTAAATTTTAAACACGAAAATTAAATTATTGATACATATAAATAAAATGCGTAATTATATTGATTAGCGCAGTATATTGAATCTTTTTTTAAAAATTTTCCATATATACTATATAAATATATTAATTGCAACGTTATCATATAATTGAACGTTGCATATTATATATGTTTTAATATACAGGAAATACTTTAAAAAAAAAAATGTATCATCAAAGAATGATTCTAAATTATCTAGGTATCTTTTACTTGTTCTGTATTACCGACGCATTGCACAAAAAACAACTATGTTCAAAACAATATTTCTACTCAATTTATTCAAGCAAAAAAAAATTAGTATATGATTTATTTATAATTAATAGATAATTTTTTAAAGAAAATAAGGTAAATATAATGAAAAATATGGCAAATATAAATATTTTATCACTTCTTTGACTAACGTAGTATACCACCATTACTGTCACTCAAGGAGTTTTTGTAGCTAGATGAGAACGAGAGGGCAGTGCAGTTTGGTGCGGCTCTGTGGCACCCTTGCAGTTCCGACTTCGAAGTTTTCCGCTGGCGTGTATTATTCTTCATCGTAACAATTGTTGTCGAAAACGTGCTTTGTTATTAATTTTTTGTAACCGTCTCGATACGAAAGACCGCGCGGATGTGTCGTTAGTGTGCACGTGTTCTTTACGCTCGCGCAGTGTTTCGTAAAGAGAAGAGGCCAAGATACATACGTACGCGGAACTGCAGCTGAAAGGGAGGAAAAGAGAAGAAACACAACGAAGAAGAAAAGGAAGAAGTAGAAGATGAGCAAGACGTGCGCTCGCTGCGAGAAAACGGTCTACCCGATCGAGGAGCTCAAGTGCCTCGACAAGGTATATTACATTTCTTTCTGCATTTGTTACGGAATTTTGAAAAGTTTTTCTACGTTTTCTCATATTTACATATCAATTATTTCATTATATCTCATAACAATTATTTCAATCGTATGTAATCTGTCATAAAATTTAAATGGGATAAAATTCGTATTTATTTAATTTAGTAGAATAAATCTTAAAACAAATTATGAAGTATTGTGTTAACGATGCAAATGAATTCATTTCGTATCGCACAGGTTTCTCGGACAGATTTATGATTTTTACGCGATACAATTATTTTTCACTTTGGATAACACACTCTTCAAAACAAGATAAGATTTCCGTATAGATAACGTTTTATCTAAAATTTAGATTGTAGATTATTGTCTTTAAAAGTTCTTTCTTTGCACCTTGAAAATTTTCTGCTCTTATTTTATTCATATCCCACAAAAATGATCTCTGTAAACGAGTAGCGTGAAACGGTTCGGAATTTTTTGCAACAGATCGTAAGATGTACCGTTCTCGTTTAGTTCCGCTTAGTGAGGCGTGCTCTTCCATTCGGCATAATTGTCTGTGTCGTTCCGTCCATCCACGCTAGCATACAACATATTCTCTGTTCTCTGCTGGATTCGGCCAACATTTTTCCATCGAAGACGCCGTATTTCTTCATAATACATTTGTTTCATACGTAGTATATTTTCATCGAATTCATTCTTAACTTAGGTTTTCTTATTCGAATTAGTAATTAATCTAAATAAATGTAATTGTTTTCTAAAAAATATAAAACTTATATAAAGTTAATTCTTAATGAATAATTCATTTTCGTATGTATATGTATATGAAGATGAAATGTGTTTCGGGATTATTTAATCAATATTATTGTTATATATAACCAAAATTATTCATAACAAAACAATATCGTTAAAATTATTTCAATGAAACTATTCAGGATAACGCATACGATATGTTTTAGAAAATTACAAGTTCATTCCTATCGATATTAATCTTGTGTGAAAGATCGATAAATATATTTAATTTTATTATATGTGTTTATTACATTAGTATTTTATTTATTTATAAATTGAATTTATAAAATAATTGAAAATATCACGACTTCCCGCCGCTTAATCATATCCAATAGGATTATAGACGTAGAAATACGTAGCAGTTATGATTTATTTAACAAACGCGAGTCCGTGTTAACGAGTCTTAAATTGCGTGGGCGGCATTTAGCACCGGAAAACGAACCATAGGCCGGCAGAAAAGGCTCGACATCCTAAATTTGGACGCATGAGATGCGCGATCTCTCCACGTTGGTTTTCTAAATTTTCTTTTCACATCCTTCTCTCCTCTAAGTTCATATATTTTTAGCACTTTCTGTGGGTCACGGTTAAATCTTCATCTATTAACTTTTCTAAACGATGAATGTGAATTTAAATAAGCTTTTCACACTTTAATCTCATCAAAATTAGAACTAAAAATTATTTAGAGTGTTGAAAGTGTAGAAATTACCATTAATTTTATTAATTTATCAATATTTAATCATTTTTAAGAATACAAAATATCAAAATTTTGTCTATGTCAAAATGTCTAATATTGATTTTGATAAATATATATATAAGAAACAATATGAATTCTATAATTTTTTTCTTTTTATGCGTTTTATCATTTTGGAATAGAATTCCAAAAGTTTTTTTTTTACACGTCAAAAATCGTTGAGATCGCAGAAGACATACTATCTTAACCTTCAACCTGTAGAATAAGAGCAGTAGAAAGAATAATCTCGTTCAAATCTGAACGAACGAAGGCAAACTACTAGAATTGGATCTACCCGCGAATAATTATTTCTTTGTAAGATTATAGTCCGTTACCGCGCTCGCTGATTTTTCCTCTCTCCGTGTGCGCGTGCGCATATCTCGCCTTCTCGTTATTCGCAGTCTGCTCGCTCTTGTGAATGGCGTGTATAGAAACACTTTCCTCTCTCTTTTTCATCTCCCTTTCTCGTTCTCTCACGCTCTCCTGTTTCATCTCTCCTTCTTCATCTTTATCCGGTGTTCTCCATCCGTAAAGAAACCTCAAGTACGGAGGACAACGCGCACGGATCAAAGCGAGCAGCGAGAACGTTGCGCAGTCGACGGGGACGAATTAAAGCGCACGAAGGACAATTAACGTGTACCGCGTTCCTCTAATCCGGAGAAATTTTAAATTACGCGATTGTCTAGACAAGCGGTACTTATTTTTTTTTCTTTCGTAACACGACAGCGAAATATTTAAGTATAACGTTAAAATAACGACAAAGCAATTTTATTATTGAAAGATTGAATTTCGTTCGACATTTTTTATTCGTAATTTAAATATTAGCGCAATATAATAGAAATATTACATTGCAAAAATATATCTGATACGAAACAAAAGAATACACGAAATATTAATATTGGCATTTTAATATTGAAAATTCAAACTGGCGAAGCGTTAGAATGATCATGTTCATATCGAATATTTTCAGATCGCGATCGATAGATCGTTCTTTATTCGGTGGGTACATTATTTTTTTTTTTTTTTTTTTTTCGTTGGAACAGATACTTTCACTGGACTTGAAGCGCGTTCACAGTGTTTGTTCTATTTTTGCGCGTTCGATCGTACCGGTAGAGCTACAGTGCAGCACCGGATTCGAATAGTGTCTTGTTTCAATTTACACAACCCGCATGTGCGTACGACCAGACATACGCATCCTGGTGTAGAAGCAATTAATCCACGTCCCATTAACCGGAGAGGAATTGCTTTTTCCAACACTCTCCAT